AAAAAACGGTCAATTCGAGCAAGAAAGTGAATTATTAAACTTGGTATGGAACATTATTAAGAGTTAGTTGCACAAGATGAAGAAGGATAAAGAATTCAGAAAGATATGACGGTTTTTTTTAATATGAGTAAAATTAAAAGAAAGATTATTAACAAACAGAAAACATAAAAAGTTCGTATCATTTTGAGAATACCGATACAAATTTTATTTTATTTTCTATTGTGAATCGAAAAAAATAAAAATATTAAAGATTTTTATGGAAATTATAATTAAAACAAAGAAAATTATATTTTTATAGAGACAAGAAAAAAATTAAAAAACTTTGTAATATTTTGTGTGAATATAACTTCTCGAGCACTCTGTTGAGTATTGAGTTTGATATTTCATTATACATAGATATGTACGATAACGCTTCGCAATATTCTCCAGTATAGCATTTCATCGTATTATCAATGAATCCTCCACTTGTTAGATAATTCCATGAACTTTTTCGCTCTCAGATTTCATTCCCTTGACCATTCTTTTAATTTTCTATAAACTGATGAAAACGAATCGAGATCGAAATTGTTGAAGCGATTCCCATTAAATTCTTCGGTGTTATTGGCGTTTATAAACATCCAGAGAATCCATGGATCGCATACTACGAACGCGAGTAGGCCTCCAGAGAATGTGATCAATGTGCTGGGATCAAAAGTGGCCCATGCGCATATGTGTGCACACCCAACGTTCAAAATTTCACTCTTCATTCTTCTCAATACCACTTTGATCCATAAATCCTCCTTCTGAAACTAAAAGCCTCTTTCTCAAGAGAAATTAACACGTTCGATCGAGAAGAAGAGGTTATACGACTACATTTAAAAACAAGATATATATTAATATATATTAATAAGATACAAGATATATATTAATTTGAGGTCGTCGTAAGTTGAAATATATTAATTCTACATATCCATAACCCTTTTTGTAAACAAATTTAACCTGATTGAAGATTGGAAAATTTCACGAATATCCGGGTATCTGGTATTTCGTATTCGGGCGAGTTCGGAAAGAATCGGATAGATTCGGAAAAAATCGTGCGGATCGACGGATATCCGAGTTTCATTTATATTCTTGGATAGATTTCTTTTTGAAAGAATTTTCTAGATTCTTATTAATTAATAAATCATTGCGATGCATTATTCTGTGATTCAGCTCGAGCAATATTTATGGAAAAATAAGTTTTTCGATTATAAATTAACACTCTTAAAACTATTACATAAAAAACATTTATTACATTTTCTGACGCAAAAAGAATCCAGAAATTCATTTTGCTGAAGTAAAATTAAAAACTTTACTATCTTTACAGTTGTGCGAAAGAGATATTGATTCTTAATTTTAATATAACTCTTAAAGTTTTGATTTTTTTTTTTTGTAAATATTTTTTTAAACATAAAAAAAACAGCGTAGCTAAAGAATGTATAGAATCAAAATAAATAAATAAATCTTGCCAAAAATAATCCCTCCTACGTCACAAACCTAGTTATTTAACTTTTATTATTTATCTTCTATTCGTGAGGTAAAAAAATAATAGGGATATTCTAGAGACTAGAATAAATCTAAACTCTTGGTATGTAAAAATGTTTATTCAAACTTATTTTTCAAATTATAAATAATTTGATGGAACAAGATGGCGATAGAGAGAAATAACTTTACTTTTAACAAATTTTATTTCAATTCTAATATAAATGTTCCATATAATGATTAAAATTTTTTTATAATTCTATGGTTAGAAATTTTATTATCTCAATAATTTTGATATTTCGTAAATTTTTTTTTATAAATAAAAGTGTTTCGTAAATTCAAAAATAATAACAACCATTGTTCTAGAAATTTAATTCCTTATTTCATTTCCTATTTATCTCATCTCCGTATACTATTCTGTATATATTAACTCTATATATAATATTATGTGGTCTGACCAGATATGGCCTGCATTTAAAGTCATCAAGTTATAGGGTGCTCGTCCTGCATATTACATATACGTAGCATTAAGAGATTAAGATATCAGTCATTTATCGACCGTTCATCCGGTTTCGGTTATCACGACATTATCCAAGTTAAACGTGTTAACTGCTTTTAGAGCAGAAAGAGACTCGGTAAGCCACGATACGGACCGCGTATAAAATGAAGTGGCGCAGGATGAACGATGATAGGTTGGTTTATCGGTGAATTATGTCGCGTGCTAGAGGGATGGAAAAAGTGGCTGTTGATGAATAGTGATATTTTTGTAGGGTGATACGGTAAGGGAATTTGGCTGAGTTGATTGAATTTCTGCGTGGAATGGGATGGTGGTTAAGTGTGGAATGTTCGAGCATGATGAAGGTTCAGGGAATGATGGTGGTTGAAATTAACGAGTAGTTTAAAGTTTTGAGGATATTGGTTTCAAATGATTTGAAGTTTAAAACAGGATATATGTAGGGTAAAGTACTGAGAAGGATTTTTGTGATTCATAAAATTTTTATGATAAAAGGATGAATTGAAAATTTTACAGGGAGAGAAAGAATTTATTTTTAGTAATTTTTTGAATTGTATAGAAATTGAAATAAAAATATAAAAATAATTATTATTCATTGAAAATTATATGAAAAAATATATCTCTTTAATTAGTGTTTTCTTTTCCATGTTAAATTAAACTAATAATTTTATAAATAATTTTTTTTTATAATTAATTTCCTTAAATGGTTGTTACAAATAGATTTTTGTTACTAATTATTAAAATAACAACCAATTATTTATTACACGATATGTAAAGAATAACTATTTTTCTAAAATAGTATAAATTGTCGATTAATCGCAATGTATTATCATTGAACAAGATTTGCATAAATCAGCATATCATTTCTATGATAAAATATCATAATAGTAATGGTTTACAATAGTAAATTGCCTCAGAGAGACATGGTATATCGTGATTCTTGATACTATAGATTATAGTATCACGTATATCGCAAATAGGAGTACATGGGGTATTGGCACAGGACAATATAGATCGACATTGTTTAACAATAGCTGATCTATGATCAAATTATGTTTCTTTATATTTACCAGAAAGACTTAACAATATTCTATTTCTATTTAAAAATTTTACACATTTTTGATTAATTTATAATTGAAACTGATAAAGACTTAGATTAATATCATTCTTGTAAAATGTTATAATTTTATTTTTATTATATGCAATTCGATCTATCACTCATTTTAAAGTTTCCCATTTCTTAACAATATTAAAATAATGCTCACTAAAAATTACGTCATTACAATTCAATTTTTAAGATCGATCATATATTCTTATCACTGAAAATACTAGCCTTCTTCTTTTTTTAATTCTTTCATTTTTTACTCGAGGTGAAAGCAAACAGTAATCGAAGATTCAATTAATATTTGAGAAAAAATCTCGACGGACGAATAAAAAATTTCTTTGTACCTCTGTATTTTGTGCTACTAGTCACTTTTTAATTTGTGCCTTTGTTTACCAACCGAGTCGAAAAGGCAATAGTAGTGCGTGCGCAAATTTACCTATTCCGCGGCAATCGTTTCCCTCACGTTGCTGATAATTAAAAAACGTTTCACGCTGTGGATGTGTTAAAGTCAGAATGGTTATTTTTACATGAAGAAACATGGAATGTCATCAATATGCTATAAATTTTTTTTTGGATTAAGTGGAATGATATCTCGTCCCTTTTAACGAAGGTAAACAGTCAGTTGCATGCCTTTAAATATAAACAACATTATTAGCAGTCGTCAGAGAGCGCTGTTTGCAAATGCAACGGGAAACGAAGTTACGTAACGGCGAATCCGCAATTATCCACGCCTTCGAATTTAGTATCGAGGTTATAATTATTTGATTTGATATAAATTAAAGAGGAAAAAAAGTAAATGAATGCTAAAATTTAATGCTAATAAATAATAATAATAAAACGATTTTTTATAGCTTATAGAATATAAAGATTTTAATTGCAATTGCATAAAAGGCGATTATTATTCCTTGCGATATAGTTTCGTATAAAAATTAGAAAATTCAAAGACAAAATTAATAGATATACATATTGTACATATATTCTTTGATTATAAAATTCATATTTTTTAAAAATTCTAAAATTATTTTCGCAATTTTTGGAAATATCAGTAATATTCTTATTTCTTATACCTCAGAGTATTTTAATTTCCTTCTTTATAGATATTTATTTTATCTTTATGAAAATTCATAATTTATATCGAGATTTTAATGAAATATAATAAAATATTTATAGAATCTATTCTCATATAAATTTTTTAAAAGTTTTCTCATCATTCTCGTAGTAAAATATATTTTGAAAAAATCTTTATAAAGACTTAATTAAATTAAATTATTATTATATTTTAATGATATAATTCGGATTGATAATAGATTAAGAAAAATTTAAAATATTAAATCAAAGTTAATAACAACAATTTAGTCAATTTTTCTTTTTCATTATTTGGATTTTTTTATTCTAAAAAATATTCCTATTTGAAAAAGCTAAAAAATACGCACGACTTTAACGTTATCAATAGTATCGTTTCAAGATCTATCGATACCGCTGGGTATATAATAATTTACGATCTCGATATATATCATAAAAACTTAGTATACACATTTATATATCATATTTAAAAAACGATGGATTCCAGACAGCAAAGGGACACTTGGCTGCAACCAAGTACTACTTACATACTATGATAGGTTAAGCATCTCTCTAGGTTAAGCTGAGAGGTTCGAGAAAAGATGGATGGCCCACATGAATGATACTTTTCACGGGTATTTGAATCCATTCCCTGCGTCTTCGATTTTCCAGTGATGTGTATCTGAAGCTGTTCTACATACACTCGAAATTTTTAACTCTCTCTTCTGCTCACTCAATCTTTTTCTTTATTCTGCACTCCCCCCTCCCCTCCTTCTTTTCTTTTCTGTTCCTTCCATCTTTTTCGTTATTGTATTTTTGAGAAAGAACATCCATCTACTAATATCATTAATAATCTCTCTCTCTTAAATTACTTTAGTCAATTACTTGATTATCATTCACACTTTTAGAAATTTTCTTCCAAAGACTTCTTCTTGCTAGATTAATTCTGTGAAAAATGTTAATTCCAAATCATTGGTATCAAATAATCCATCAGATTAAGACCTTGACAAATTTCTGTATTCCAGAAAGGAATTCCATTGTAAGGAATTTTGGAAAGAATTTTAGTAACGAGGGACTATCTTCCCTTTTAAGAGAGAGGGAATTTCAATAATAAAAGAACGACAGATATTAGGGGAGGAATTTTCGTATATAAAGAAAAAACATTTTATGTGTGCACATATATTAAAAATAAAAGCTTTATTTTAATTATAATAGAGGTATAATAATAAGTTGATCGAAAGTTTATGTTTCAAGTATTATAAATTGTAATTTAGATTGTTGCAAATTCATAATCTTTGATATATTAATTATTGTAACACTTGAGACATAAGCTTTTTATCGAGTTATGATATGCTCTTAAATTTTGTTGAATCAATAAATTTTATGAATTTTATAATACAAGATTAAATGATATAAAATATAAAAGTAATAAAAGAAAATTAAAAAAAAAAAATAATAAGAGAGAAATATAAAGAAGGAAAGATATAGCTGTAAAAAACATAGCAAGAAAAAAAAAAGAACAGAGTCGTTATTTTTGCGATTCTAATTTCGACTTCACAGCTCTGGAAAAAGAAAAAGAATGAAGAAGGCACGAAGAAAGATATCAAGTAATGGGAGGAAAGTAATATAAAGACACGAAAGAAAAAATTCATGGCAATAGAAGAAGTAAGTACGAATATAAAAGATAACAGTTTCACATTACCATGACTGATTGTGGTTTCGAATTTTCTTCAGATTTCCGACCATTCTCTCGTCTGATTTTATGATCTCGCTATATTATTACGTAGATTACTATATATATAGATATAACATAACCTAAAAATGTACGAAATAAATACAGAGAAAGAAATTAAATTTATATGTGGATGTCACGTTTTATGAGACTCTAATTATATTATACTTATACTACTAAGCTGTTGTTTACTATGTCAGATGAAATAAACAGGGCAACATTTTTATCTCAAATACATCCAAGATAGGATTCTTATATTATCTAGAAATTGAGGAAAATTATATAAAAATGTGACAATATATACTTCAATCTCATAAGTATCATTAAAAATTAATATTATTTAAGGAATATTATTTATTATTTTTTAGAATTATTTATTAATATGAAAAATTAATATTATTATCTTGTATTAAAATTTTCTCAAATTTTAATTGATTTTGCTTTACAAGATTTTATTTTCTTTGGCATAAAGTTTTATTTTTTAAATCTAGAATTTGAGATTGTTCCTTATAAATATATTATATATTAATAATCTGTGATACTATATTTATCATTATAGTTATCGTTCTTTCAAAGTTTATAATTGCATAATTTACTGCAAATTGGAATAAACGTTGCTGTATGAACATTTTGGTTTTAACGAGAACAGAAATTTGTTGAGAAAATTATGTTGAAAGTTTCACATTTTACAACATGTGAGCATGTAATTAATCAGTGAATAAATTTATACGATTTTCTAATTTCTAGATCCAATTGTAAATACAGCAAAAATACAATTATATAAATATATATGTAATATATATTCAGTATGTAATATACTTACTAATCTAGTAGTGTTAGTAATAGCTGAAACTCGAGCTTTTTTTTTTTATCTAACATCGATGATCATAAAAAGTGGTAATTAAAACGAAAGACAAAGAAAGACCGAGAGCTCAAGTGTTAAAGAAATACAGCAGATATATTGTTTCATACGAAATTACTTGGTTTAATTTAAAAGAGATCACTCCCCAGTTGATACGAATAATTCTCTAGCATATATATATATACTGTATGCATTTACTTAATACATATATCTCTGTTAAAAAAAGCTTGAACACGGGACTTCGAATTGGCCGATTACGAAGCAGATCCCTCGCCAGGCAAAGGGTTAAGACTTTTCCTTGAAACTTAATTATGCGACGTGTACAACGGTCTGATATTTTCATGTGTCTGTTTCTTTCAATGGCCACGGCCCCATTCCACTCGGCGCATTTTTCTTTTCCGCGCTTCGTCGCCCCTTTATTTACTACGACTTCCTGTGTGCTCTCTTTTTGATTTATCTACTCACCGTCGCGTTTCACCGTCCCGTTTTCCCTGAATATTTAAACCGAAGACACACTGTCACTCCTCTGTTCCATTTTTCCCTCCTGCTCCCCCTCTCTGCACGCCCGTGTTTCTCGTTTGTTTCTCTTCTTTTCTCACCTTGAGGACCATGTAGTACGAAGTTTTCGAAAAAAGCTTTTTTGAGGAAAAGAAGGGAAAAATTGTTAGGAGCTAAAAATGCGGTTTTCATAAAAGCTGTTTGAAATTTTTTGAGAAAAGAGAAAAAAATTCTTTATCAATTTTAAGTGTAGATTTGGCTTTCTCCTTTGTTTAATTTAGCTTTTTAAAGTTTTTTTATTTAAGTTTTTTGAATATTTTTTCTTTCTTTCTTTTTTTTTTTTTTTTTTTTTTTGAAAGAATTTTAGCAGAAAAAGATTTTTTCTTTAGAAGAAGATATTTTTCTCTAAAGTAAAATCTTCATTCAACCCAAAGTAAAAATCAAATATTAATAAAAAAAAAATTGTTAATTATTGGAAATATGCAGTTTTTTATTTTTAAAAATTTTAATTCTAAAAACTAAAATAATGAAACTAATGAACTAAAATAATGAAAATCTGAAAAATTCTATTTTTCTTTTTTTTTTTATTTTAAAAATTATATTATAAAAATATTTCACAAAATTTTAAATTTTGTTGTTTTTCATATATTTATAATAATATATAGTATATAAATAAATTTCTAAAAAAAAAAGAATAAAACAATTTTTTTTCTATTAAAAAATTGAAAATTTTGTAAGCATAATTAATATTTTATTATCCAGTAACTATTATAATTCCTATATAACTTTCTTTATTATTTATCTATTCTCCGTTTCATTTTTTCTCTTATTCTTTCTTATTCTATTTCTTCTAAAATCTTCCTATATAAACTCTGCTCATATGATAAAAATAATGTTTTCAAAAGATTTTGAAATTCTAAATATAAGATTTAAAACTCAAAATTGTTATTAATATTATATATCCGCTTTGAAAGAGCACAATAAATAATTAATCAGCTATGATAATTTTAAAATAATTATAATTTAAATAATAGATCAAATAGTAGATTAAATAGTAAATAATCCAAGAGAAAATTTTATACATTTAAATTGTTTTACTAATGTTAATGTATTTTTTTTTTATTGCCTCTCTAAATCTTTCTGTTTGAGAAATCTCGTTTTTGTACAATTTTTTCTTTTTTCGATAGTTTTTAGCGGGCTTTGAATGTTAGACAAGAGTGTGAGAATAAATCGGTCGGATATAGACGGTTTTGATGCTCTTCTGTGGTGTTCTCTGCGTTCGCACGTAGCGTGTGAGTATGAAAATTACGAAGCTCTTTTATGTCTGATTTTGTATTCCCTAGTTCATCCATCTAAAATTTTTTTTTTTTATTTTTTTTTCTCAATTAAACATACTGAAAAATGATCAAGAAACTGCTTTAAATTCGAATTCGATATCGAATAAAAATCTCATTCGATAAATTATAAGATTTAAATTAATTTTTCATTCATTATAGACATTATAGAATTCAATTAACACCATGAAAAGGATATTGAAAAACTACAAAATTGTATCTGTATTCGTTCAAAATAATTTTTAAAAATATTCTATTATCAATAATCCAAACATGAATTTCATTTCAGAATTATTATAAATCTTCTTACTATAAATTCTTTTTAAACTCTCAAGATAAATATTTTAAAAATTCGCGCGTTATTGTTAGAAATTTCTTAAGATATTGCACAGCTAGACTATTTCTCACTCGACTATGATTCACGCTATCTGCATCTCATTTCCTCTTCCACTTTGCATTGATTCTCTCACTTCTCAAACACTATCCATATCTCTATATTTTCAAACAGACACGAATTTTCAAAAACGTCCTATCCTGAGTTAAAATAAATAATCTAAATCCTTTGATAACACGTAAAACAATCAGTATTTTGATACAAGCACAGAGCGATATAGTGAATTCAAGAAAAATGAATTTTTCATCTGCTTTTTCCTAACCTCCATTTCTCTTTGTTCTTTCACTTTTTTTGTCCGGTCCTATCCTTCTGCTCCTTCCTCTCACAGTTGTTTCCTCGATCCTTTTCACGCCTTTCTAATTACTCCCCGGTTCAACGTATAAAAAATGACGACGAACAACCATCGGTCAATTAACTTACAAACAAAAAAAGAGGAAACTTGGGATTCTCGAGCGAACGAGACACAATGCGCGTGAAAATCTGAATAGTCATGAACGGCTGGCGTCGCGCGCATCAGAGAGAGGGGGAAAGAGACTAGAAAATAGGGAAATAGAGCTTTGTCATTGTTCGTTTACATTAAGTCATGTCACGTGTCTTTTCGCGCTTTTGAGAACGTATCGATAAATTTATTGAGATTAATAAAGAATGAACGAAACATATAATTATTTAACATTCATAGATTGAATCGAAGGATTATAAATTCATTTTAGAAAATTGCAACACATTATTCATGTAAAGAAGAATAATAATATAACGTTTTGGAATATGATAGTTTTAAAAATGATTTGAAGATGAAGATCCAAAATGGCGTGGATTAGGTTAGTTTGATTTTTCGTTGACGATTTTTATTTATCGTTTAGATATACGAAGAAATAAATAGAATAGAATATATATTATGTTTTTATATTTATTTGTTTATAATATGAATAAAATTACATATACGAGTTTTTTCAATTCTATATCGTTTCGAAATCAATATAAAATTAAAAAAATAAATATATTAAAGAATTATATCGAAATTACATATATCTATAATGAACAATATATATATACAATATATACAATAATAATAATTGTACATATACAATATATACAATAATATAATAATATATAGGTATAATTTAAAATTATAGTTTGTTATAATAAATATTTATAATGAATTTTTCAATATAATTTAATTTATTTAATTTATGTAAAATGTATAATACATTAAAATTTTATCTATAAAAATAGAAAAAAATTTAAATCCATTTATTTTTACTTTCCATTAATTAATTAATTTTGAAACAATTCTGCTTTTGTTTCTTATTTTTTTATAAGAGATTATCAATAGCTAGCAGAACAGTTAAGAAAAGGATATATAGCGGTTATTTATATTGCTAGTTCAAAATCTGTCTAGCTCGTCTTTTATGAAGGTTTCAATAAAGATTGCAGGTGTGAGTTTTCTGATGTGAAAAGCTAGTTCTACCAAGTTTCTTCAGTATTCACTGAAATGTGTAACAAGATGGAACCAACTCTGTTGATACTTCCATTACTGAGTATATTTACATACATATATTTCTATCTTATATCACTTTTTTTATCATTTTTTTTTCACTTCTTTTTTTGATCATTATTTAACTTTTATACACATTGCTAATTATACGATACATCAAATTAGACTTAGAAATTTATTTATTTATTCATTTTTTTCCACTTGTTTATTTATCTTATTGTTAATTAATTTACATTGTTAAAAATATTAATTTATTTCCTTTTTAGTAGATTTAAATATTTTTCACAAAAATTTATATTTATTTTTTTGCCTAAATATCAATTTAATTTGGTTTATTTTTATTAAATTAATCATTTTGATTTTTCATTTTGAATTTAATTTTCACTTTTTTTTTTTTTTATTACTGTTCATGTTTTTATATTAACAGATACAGGTTATTTAAAAATCATCATTGAAACTTAATTTAGGCTATTATATATATTCTATACAAATATTATTTTTATTATTTATGTATTATTTTTGAATCATTATAATTAATCAATACATAGAATCTTTCAAATATAAATAAACAAAATTTAATAGTTGAAGTTAAAAATAAAATTATTCTAATAATTTAATTTTTCAATAATTATTTTATTATTCAAAATATTGAATAACTTCAAATAATTGCAAATAATTAAACAATCGAAAAATTAATTACTTAAAATAACTTTATTCGAAATTTTTAATTAATTATTTTTTTTAACAGATCAATGCCCAACTCTATCAGAAAGTTTCAGAAAACAATTTATTGAAAATTGTGTTCTAATTAGTATAAAAAAATTTTTTTCATTAGAATTGAATATTTAATAAATTGATAATATTTAATAAAATGAAAGTTTAGAAACCTGGTTTTTTTTATCAATTCAATTTTATTTTTCCATTGAATTATTGTCCCTTTTATTTTGTCGAATATTTTATTGATCTAAATAAATTAAAAGCAAATTTAAAAAAGAACGATAAAATTCAGTGTTATAGTCCAAATATTCTCAATCGAAGTGAAATTTGAAACATGTTTTAAATTTTTGAATTGCTTTCAAAAGAAAATATAACAGAAAAATTCAATTTTATGTGAAAATTGAGATTTTTAACTCTTTAAAATGAATTCAAATTGACTATTATGATATACAATATTTCTTTCCGAAGTTTAAAAATTCTTTCAAAATTCTTGTGAAATAAAAAAATAAAATATAAAATAATTTTTGGATGATTAAAGTTACAATGACCGAAATTACAATAATAGATAATAAATATTAAACTGATTTCGCTATCATTTTAACTTATTTTTGATTATTTAGTTTAATTTATATTTTCTAAAACTTATTTTTCTGAATCGATTTTCAATGAAATACTATAAACCAAACCCAATAAACTTGGATCCAAAGTTATGAAATGAAGACTATGTCTCTGAATAATTCAATTTCTCTTTTCAATGAATTTCCGTATGAAAAGAATACATGACGTCCATATTATTGAGAGATACTACTAGATTAAGCAGAGACATAACGCGACGCTTGTTTTTAGTAGAAGCTTAATCACGTGATTTATTTCTGTTTAATATAGCAATAATATTGGTAATAATGTGATATTGTATATTTGAAAATTCGTATAGAAATTCGCTGTGAAAAAAAGTTATTTTTACTGCATGAGCCCAAATATTATAATATTGCTTTATATTAAATAACGTTTATATAGACATAATTCATATACATATAGGATAAAAAATTTTTTTATTAAATATCTTACAAACTAATAAATAATTGAAGTTACAATTTTATATTTTGTTTCCATCATTTTCTCCAAAATTCAATTCATATTTTAATTTTATTTTATCCAAATTTTTATTCCAAATTTTTTTATATTAATAAAAAATTATAAGTGGAAGACATTATTTTTTAAATACAACTTGCGATTAAAAATCTTTGATTCAACATAATCCCTATTTCTTCATTGTGTCAAATCTGCCATATAGATATAATCCTATCAATGATATATATTCAAAGCAAGATTTGAAATACTGATTTCAATGGGCATTGATAACATGACATGAGTGAGAGAAACAATTGGTATATAGCGTAGAACATGTTAAAGGAACAGCTTCGAGGAAATGTAACTGTCAATAGACGGAACTCTCCCTCAGTTGTGAAATCTGAGAGCTCTTGACTGGTTCGAACATTAGTACTTTCGCATATCTGATATCTTGTCGACTAACAATTACTGTACGGAATAGTTTCACTATATAGAATCCATTTCATCTTTGAATGAAGGACACAAAATGGAAATTAAATAAGTTAAAAAGGAACACAATAAAAAGTTAAAAATAAAAAAAATATTTTTCAATGTCTTATTCAAATTTATCTTATAGTTATTTTTTAACAAAAATTGTCATGAGAAAAAATAATCGATCGCGAATCGCATAAACAAATATAAAAGTGAGGTTAAACCTTGTTCACCAATGATAACGGTAATACAAAAACAATAATATTTATAAGTATGAAACTATATCATTGTATAAGATGAGATATAGCGAAGTCATAAAATCAATCAAATCAATAAAGTAATGAGATATTGTATGTCAGAACTAGATTTAAGAAATCTATAATCATTATAAACTTCAGAAAATTGAAAAGAGAATACAATCTATAGTTATAAATGCAGTATAACACATTTGATATTAATTGATGCCGCTTCCTAATAGTTTAATTTATGACTTCATTGTATTATGACTCGTTTATACGTCCAATATTTTAAATATATGGACGGAAATAAATATATGGAATAAATATATGGAATATATATCTATTTAAAATTATTTATAAAATCAGAAATTTTACTTTAAAAAAAACAATTTCCTATAAGGAAATATTTTTTTAATTTCTTATATTTCTTTTTCTTCTAAATATTCTTCTAAGTATTATTTATAAATTTGTTAATCTCAGACTTTTGCAAATATAACATTTGCTATCCTTCTAGTAAGTTAACATTTCAAATATAGAGAAAAAAGAGGTTATGAAACGTTTTCGCTTCTCAGATAGTATAAAACAAATTTGTAAATAAATTTTCGTAAATAATTATCAATACATATTTCTAATAAAATCCTTTAATCGAATAATAAAATTTTTAGCAGAATTATAAAATTCTGATGTATAGTTTGAAAAAAAAACTAAAAACAAAAAAAAAAATATCTAATTTTTAGTTAATTTTTCTATAATAAAAGAGTTAAAGATTTTTGAAATTTTCAATAAAACATTAATTGAAAGAGAATTGATTAGCTTGTAATATATAGTATAATATGTTATTTTCATTTGTTATCAAAAAAAAAAAACATTACTACCTGATGGAAAACTAGTGTTCATCGTTATTGTAAGCTGGTCGAAACTAGACAACTCTGCCCAACATACATGGTTGTATTGTAGCATATAAAAGAACAGCCAAATTTCTCTCTCCAATACTTTTTTTTTACTTTGGCAAACGGCGATCATTTTTGTTTCATGAAACCGTGATAGAAACATACGGATGCTTTTTTTTTCTCATTGCTTTGTCGACAATACGAGTGAACGCTTCTCAATCCTGTGTGGTTATTAAACATTTTTCACTGTCGAGACTTTCTATATCAGACCTAAATCCTCGGCTTTGACAAACTACAGTATTTTCTATGCTTCTAAAACTTATTACTCTTTATTAAATTCTCTTTTTTCGATTTTCAAGTTTTTCTTTCAATTATCATCTTATACGTTTTCAATTTACGGAACAATATTCAAAAAGAAATAAAAGAAATAAAAAACCATAAAAAATTTATTAATTGCTCCATTGATTGAGATGCTTTTCGTTTATTTGATCTAAAGATAATTGCATAGAAAGGAAAGGAATCGAAAAAAGATCGCATTGGCTATAGAGGTTAACTCTCATTCTCTACATTCATCTGCGCGC